CTGAATCCGACTCTGGTGGAAACGTAACGAACGCAGACTATAATTATTAAAAGACCCAGCAAATGCTGCCATGACAGAGAGAACTGAAACTAAAAACAAAAAAAAAACCAAAACGAAACTTTGCACAAATGTCTAAAAATATCAGCAGCTAACTGCAAACGTTGCGTGCCGCTGACAGGCAAGAGAAAGGCTCTGAGAGGTCCTTCGGCTGCCCTAATGTGGCCCAGTGTTATAATGCTCTAAAACTTTTGACATTTACCGGGGCACGTATGTTCTAATACCCAGCACACCTGTGTACATGTGTGTTTGTGCGTCTGGCTTCATGTATTTCATTTGCTTTTTCTCTGGACTTTTTTTTATATAACATAATAATGCGCCTTGGACGCGAACAGTCAGACACTAGTGTGTTGCCCTTATATGGGCAGATTATATACAGTAACAAATAAATCGCATTAACGGCAGTTGATAGCTTTTGTGATTTGTGCGTGTATCTGGGCAATACGTCAAGAGCGTCGCAAGTAAGTTCCATTGTCTGCTCATTCGAATGCACATAAATAACTAACGATAAATATGTGTTCGATTTCCAAACGCCAACTGAATACTCTTACAATATGATTTAATTTCATATGACATGCTTTAAATCAGATAACAAGTTAGAAATAATAAACTATAATTGTATGTCAATAATATAATAGTATTTGTTTAATCTAATTTTATTACTAAGTAACTTAGTAAAATTTTAATGTCTTCTGAGAATTCTGTCTTATTATGTCTTCATCTATTATGTAATGGTTTTTAAATGTCTCGAAATTAATAAAATAAATACAAAAATTCTTCATTCTTATTCATTTTGCTTCGCATATTAATATTTATAATAAGTCCAAAATCTACGCTAAGAAAGGGTATACGAGGCAGGGACAAATCTTTGAATGATAAACAATCAGGACACACTCGTTGCTCGTTGCTATGGCAGCGCACTCAATCAAACGCAGGATTGGGGACGTGGCAAACGTGGACGTGTCCGGGGCAGCAAACAAATATACAAAAAGGTGCAAATGGCCAGGATTTTATGCGCATTAATTAAAGGTAACTTAGCACAAAGGCAGGGTCCAATGGCTGCCCAGCCTGAGCACGAGCACAAATGAATTATTTAACATGATATTTAAGCTGATTGAGATGAATTATCTCGAAATGAATAGCTGATGGCAGTAAAAGGGGCAGTGGATTGTTGGTCGACCGTGGGATTGTGGCAGCATGGGACTATGGCAATTTAAGGCTCAACATGTGGGCGGGCCCAAACTGGGCGGGAATTGCTTAGAGCAGCTGGATGAAAGCCGAGAGTGCAACCAGGCCAAATTACACATAGCCCGAAGGGCACAGCGACATTCAAAGTGACATTACAAAATCTTGTTGCAAATCCGCGGCGCTATAGCCGCCAGCCAAGCGATTAAGTTGCGCAACTTTACATATATGAGCAGAACTTTGCGTGTGCTTATGTATGTGTGTGTGTGGGAAGTGGGGGCATGAAGCATGGCTGTGACACTCGCGAACACTTTGGCGCAATTAAAGTTTCGAAATGCCATCGGGACGCGCGTCCCCCAGCAGCAGTAGCTTTTATTTGACTTTCTCTACAATTATGGCGCCGAGAGTTTTTCTTTTTTTTGTCATTGCCTTTGCCATTTGGCGGCTTAAGAGCCAACCAATGGGCGTGGCCGGGTGCTGGTTTTATGGTAGAAAGTTATGCCAGCATTCAGTTAATAGTTTCGCTTTTATGTTTGGTACGACATACTGATGTCTTTACGATTCCACTTAAACACTGGCGTGCGGAGTGAAAGTATATTTTTTTAAAGAAAATGTTGATTATAGAACTATAA